AAAAAAAATAATAATAATAAAATGGGTTACAATCACAACTAAAGAGTTTACGACACAGACGGTTCAGTCAAACATCACAGAACAACTATCACAGTTTTTCCCGTCTATGTTTAAACCCATTAAAAAAAATTAAGGTATATAATCCAAATAAGAAATAATATTATCTTATAAACTAAGAAGTAATAATAATAATTATAAGAAACGATTCATTTTTATCTTCAAAACGTAAACAAGTCATTTTAAGTCCTTTTTTATTATTTTTTTTAACGAGACTAGAACCGTAAACAAACGATTAAAAAGATCCCAAAACGAAGCTGTCAATAACAACTTGTTTTTGATGAATCATATTTAATTTTAATTAAGTATCGTTAATTGACATTTTTTTACTTATTAAAAAATCGTTTCTAAATGAAAAAAAAATAATAATAAAATAGATACGAGGAACGCCAAAAACAAAATTAAAATGAAAATAGTGTTTTAAAATGATCAGAAAATAAAAAAAAATCAAATAAAAACTACAACCACACCTCGTCTTGATGATGACGACATCAAGAACTTTCGCCGGGCAATTCATCTTCGTTATCCAATTTCGTTGTTCCCGCATTGCAAAAGCGACATTTACAGCAAACTATACACGGCGCTGCCAATAATAATAAAGGCGATGCCACCAACAATAATATTCCGAAGCCGGCAAATATCCCAATTACTTGCGTCCGATGCCAAATTACCGAAGCCCTGGAATGTCCCAATTTGTTCTTACACGGACCTTTATCGTAATGACGCAACAAAAAATCATCCTAAATTAAAAAAAAATATATATATTAATGTTAATAAACGAAAATATTAAGGGATATATAATATAAATATCAAGAGATGTGGGAGAAAACACATGAAAACAATCTGGTTGGAAAGAGGGATAAAGCATTTTATGGGAAACTGCAAGATTGGTAACGAAGGGGAGAGATGACGAGAGAGATAGATAGAGGATTTGGTGAAGGTTGTCGGAAAAGCTCATATTAAAAGAGTGTGTGTGAGGGGGGCAACAAAGGAGTATAAACAAACATGAAGGAGGAAGAAGAAGAAGCTGAGGGAGATGAAGGTGGACGAGATTAGGCTGGTGAGACAGGAAGGGAAGTTTGGAGATACAGAAATAAGATAAGAAAGGGGAGAGAGGAAGTTACCAGTGAGATACCCATAACGTTCTTACATGATGTTCTAAATAAAAGTATTTCATGAAATTCTGGAATTATTTTATCCAATTGCTATTCTATACTTTAGTTAGTCGGTCGGTAGCCTTCATCACCAGAGCCCGGACAGTTTAGGAAAAGTGCGCCCCTTCACACGAAACGAATTCCATGACAACGACGTAAGTACGTTGTTGTCGCTTTTGACACCTTTTGATCACTAGTTAGTCTTCAAAATTGAATTTCGAAGAGCGATGAGCATACCTTAGCGAAGAACTTGCTGTGCAACATTAATTAATGAATTAATAAAAATAATATAAAAATACGCACTGAATTAATCATTTTTGGTTTTATTAAATTTATAATTAATAAATTAATTTATAATTTATTTCGTGACATAAGGTATGACGTATCTGACAGCTTCGCACGCTTCGATTGAATTTTTGAGACTGGAGTGGGAGGCGTTTTAGGATAACTTTCCTAAACTGTCCGGGCTCTGTTCATCACAGTGTCTGAAGATGACAGCAATGGCAGCGAATCAGTTACTTTTAAAAAACGTAAACGCCTTTGCCAATACAAGCATGATTGGGAGACCAGTTATTTTTGGATAAAACCTTGTGAGGACAATGTGTTCAAAGATTTCTGCACATTGCGCAAAAAGCACTTCAAAGTGGCCAATGGCGGATTCAATGACGTAAAAGAGCATGACAGGAGTGTCAAATATCAGAATAAAGTCAACAGATAAAAACTAGTGGTGGCCGGATTTTAAAAAATGGCCCGATAGTTACCAAATATCCGGCTTTAGCCGAATATTCAAAATCTATTACTTAAGCCTAGGTCACACGTAACGAATACAGTGGCGAGACAGCGTACTCGGCCGAGTCCTCGGTTGGTATAAACATATTACCGAGTGCTCGGCCGAGCGCTCGACCTAGTACCAGGGCGAGACAGTCACTCGGACCCTATTCTATTTACTGGCCCGAGTGCCACGCTACTCTCTCGGCCTAGTGTCATTTTACTGTCTCGCCACTGTACTCGTTACGTGTGACCTAGGCTTTAGTACTCCACCATTCACAGGAATTAGTATCTCTTTTAGGTGTTGGACACTGGCGATAATAATCAAGTTCAACCTCAATAGGACTTTTTTCATTTGCTTTGTTCCAACCAGCGGTTTGACTCGTCGTGGACGCGTCAAATGCAATCGTACAGTTAAATAATGCAATGGAATCCGCTGAAATGTGACGACATTACTTGACATGTGCGATTGCATTTGACGAGTAACGGACAAGTCCGACCGCTTGTTGGAACAAAGCTATTGAATACAACTTTATTTATATCAAATTTGTCTTTCGCAACCTCATTATAACAATCAAAATACAATATATAAAATCTTTTGTTGCAGTTTCGTCTAGTTTCCTTCTCTTTGCTTGTAATTCATCATCACATTTATTACTAACAAAACTGTCGCTGTTATCACTTTCGATTATTAATTAAAGTATCCTCTTCTTAATACAAAAAGCCGTTTTGAAAAATCACTTTTAGTTCTAAAGAAAAAATTTTTGAAATGATCGAAAAACTTTTCTAATTTTTCAATTTTAGCCGTTTAAGTTTTAAAAATTCGCATAAAATCCAGTTCTTGGAATATGCGTATGAAAATTTCCCAAAGTGCTAATAAAAGTGTCCTCTTTCCAATGAACTATCCCATTTTGAAAAATAACTTTTAGTTTTTGAGAAAACAATATTTGAAGTTTTGATAAAACTTTCGATATTACAATTTTTATCAATAAGGAGGATCCTTGTGGAAGTGTCACCAATTATTAATTAAAGTATCCTCTTTTTAATGCAACAAGCCGTTTTGAAAAATCACTTTTAGTTCTTGAGAAATAAATTTTTGAAATGATCCACAATTTTTTCGAATTTTGCAATTTTCGCCGATTAAGTTTTAAAAATTCGTATAAAATCAATTTTTTGGAATATGAGTATGAAAATTTCCCAAAGTGTTAATAAAAGTGTCTTATTTCCAATGAACCAACATCGCAGTCCATCT